GTTCACACTTGTAACCTTACTAAACTTAGCTGAAATTTTGGCCAAAAGTTAAAAATTAAGAAACTAAACACAATTAATGTATAAACGCCTGCTAACAGTTTCCCACGTGATGTAGCTTGCGTGGCCTGTCGAAGCATACATACATGTAACAGCAGAGAGGCGTAACCATCTCAATTAAGGTTGAAAAAATTTCCTCCTTTGTTGCTATTGCTAGACAAGGGTATTTACTACACAGCGGTTAGCGTACGTAGCTTGGCGGTTTAAGCAATTTGAGCACGTGCTAAACAAGCGGCGAAGCCGCGAGGAACCGCCTGCCTGGATTACCCACGTTTTGATTGCCGCCCCCTATTACATATTTTGACATACTAATGACAGTTGTCAGTTTCAGTTGTCTCTCCTCCAGGTTCCTGGAGGTTCCTGCCTCACTGCACGTTTTCGCGGCTTCGCAGCTTTGTGCGCGCGCTCAAATTGCTTAAGGTGGCTCCATAGGGCAATCATTTATGGCGTTGCGCGCTGAAGTCTTATGTCTTGAATACTGCTTTTGCATTCGTTTTTGCACCCAGTCCTCTCAAACTTACAACATGTAATAAGCAATGATCAAATATCTTTACTAAAATTTTGGGTTTTACTCTTAAATTACAAATGCCCAAACAAAATTGTTTCGTCCTTTTTTTATGGCTTTATTTGTGATTTTCTTGAATTTCCTTCAGTGAAATCTACCAAAATTTTCACAGAACATCGCATCCTGCTGGATACGAAACTCAAACACGAAAAAAGTAGGGTTCGTACAGGCAGTTTTTTCGTTTTTTGCAAATTTATGTCTTTTACCGCTGCGAAAAAAACTGGTCTTATAGATTTCTCTTGAAAACGAGCTCCGACTAAAATAAAATATTTACTACCAGTCTGCCAAATTTTACGGAATTTCACCGAAGGAAGCGCGAGAAAATTCACTGTGTTTTGTTTTTTGTACTCATGTTGACTGCGTCATAAAATATCGAAAAACACTGACATTGAGCACTGAGCGCGCGCAGATCACTTGAGCTTTCGTCCTCCGCGCGCGTGCGGTCGCAAAACTATAGGGAGCCACCTTAAACCGCCAAGCTACGCAGGCTACACAGCGGTGAGTAATCGAGAAATAACTAAATCAAATAAAGTGTTTTGAAAGTTCTGACTATGTTAGGAAAATAGTGTCGCACTTACGACAATTTAAAAGAGAGGAAACTTTTGTGTAAAACTCACCTATATTCGGAATGCTATGATGTTTCCCCGTTCAATTCGGCACTACTGAAAGCTTTGACAGACCACGTGCAACTTCGCCACGTTAATGATTTGGCAGAATTAATGCTGAAAGCTCTGGTTTCGTTGGTTACACATTTCAATAACTGCAGTCACGTGCTTCATTCTGCAAGGCTGCAGTTGTCTCACACCGTAGTACCAACACTTGCAGACATCTGAATACGTTTGGATCCGATTAAATAAAACAGAACTAAATTCAACCAAACAGAAATTAAAAACCTCATCGATAAGGTTGTCTGATATCAAAGCCTCCCATGCACATGGTGGTCTCAGTTTGTAATAATTATTAGCCGTTGGCTTGGGGTTATCGCATTCCCACTTTAATGCATCATTTGAGTTTCAGAGCGAAGAGAAGTGATCAAAGGTTGTAATGTGCTCTTGGTGTGAATCATAACAGGCTGATTTGAGATTCTGCTCTACTCCGCCGAACCTCTGCCAGAAGCTTTTCCCGTTTTCTTATGAGTTCCTTGATGCGTATTTCCCGATCTAACGCAGGAGAATAACAGTGTTCCTTGCAGTTTGCGTTCAACGAATCACAAATAACAAGAGGGGCTATCGGCCGATCAGCGAAAAGACACATCTTTTTGCTTTGTTTAACATCATCAGCATCCGACTCTCTGTTTGAACTCCCTACGTCCGATACCAGAGGCGAAACAGACCAAACACCTAGTATCGAAACACAGAACGATACGAAACAGTTAGGGAATAGATGTGTTATGTCAGAACGCCAAGAATGAAAAAAAAAAATCTTCTACAAATAAAACGTCAAACTATTGTCCGATCATTTATAAACCCGTTACATTCAATTCTTCTAAACTCAAGCTTGAAATACACGTATGATTTGATATTGTTATTTCTTATAACTTTGGTTTTGAAAATTCTTTTAAAAAGCAAAAGTCCTTGTTGTAATAAGGAAGGCTACAAGAAAAAACTTTTGAAACCTCCAACCAGACTATATTATCGTTAACAATTATTCCATGAGCGGACATGCATTATTGGCTATAATCATCTCACCTCCAACAGAGCGCGAGTGGAATAATTGTTTTCTTAAAAACGCCTCCAAAATACAGAAAACTAAATAGAATAAAAACCTTAAACGTCCCCAAAAATTACACGTACACTTATCATATTTGTAGAATATGATATAATAGCACATATACCATGACGGCTAAGCCAATGAAAACTCTCGAATTGCATTATCCCCCCGGGATTATCCCATGATTGAGTTTTTGAAAATTCGTATCATCCTTCATAGCCGTATCATCTCAACAAGTTCCCTTTTTCTTAAGTTACACTGTACCTGCAGTTCTCTTAAAGATTACTTTGGTGCCTCTGGGAGATATTGAATCCGATCTTGAGCTTTTTGGAGAAACTACAGGTGTACACTTGTTTGATGACAATTCTGAAGTCGTCTCATCGGCACTTAGCGTCTCTTCACTATCAGTACTGTGGGAGCAAGAACCAAAATGCTCGCTCTTTATGTCGATTTTCCTTGGAATTGACTTCCGCGGCCGTTTCCGAGGAATTAAACAGTCAATTTTCTGTTTCTGGTTATCAGTTCCTGCCAGACACATTTCCAGCGAGGACTTACCAGCGGTTTTACCAATATTGCTACATGTCTCTTGACCCCTCTTCTTGTCTTCATCAGTGTCTATACTAGCAAATTTGCCACTAGCAGCGACTTTCAAAGTTTTAGTAGAAGACTTTGGCATACTTTCATAACTACAGCTTTCAATGATTTGTCCTTCACGGTTATTTTTCCCCGCTGTCAAGCCTTTTCCTGAGCATGGCTGTAAGTTCAGTTCGTCAGGACTTTTTTCTGCCAAGACACCAATGCTGAACCAATCAAGATATTCTAAGCTACCATTTCTGGTATTGCTGTCCTCAGAAAACGTAACAGTCTGAGTATTGATTTCACACGGAAGTGATAATTTTTCAGCAACAGAACACACTTCTGTGGTTGCATCTGCCGTCTTGAGATAGTCTTCGTTCTTGTTCATATGCCCACATCCCAACTCTCTTTCCTGCAATGCCCACATCCCAGGTCTCTTTCCTTCCATGCTTAAATTCCTTAACTTCTTCGGCTTGCTTCTGATCCCAATAATATTCCTAGGTAGCCTATCAATTATAGAGCTGTGCTCCTTGTTCAACTTCTCAGGTAACAAAGTGTGCACGGCAACCACCTTGGGCATGCTGTCATGATCATAAGCAACACCGCCAAACGTATTCACAAGGTCCTTTTCATCACTGAATTCACAACATTCGCCATGACTGCTTAACTCCATTCTTAAACCAGCCTACCAGTGGGCATTTGAAACCTGCATGAAAATTGAATTTTATCACATATAGCAGTGGCAGACCCAGACCTTGAGCTAAGGGGGGGGGGNTTTTTTTTTTTTTTTGCTTGCTCTGTCGGCTTTTACTCCTTCTGCAATTTATTTTACCTAAAATGAGGGGGGCCCTCCCCTAGATTCACCACTGTATAGCACAATAGGGTACGAGACAAGTCCAATTTAGTCAGTCAAGTAGAGAAAGTGACAGTTGCTGGCAAAAATGCAGTCTCTAACAACTGACTGAATTAAATGCCGCTTAGCAACAGGACATTTCCTTATTAACCTTTGCTACACCAAGGTACAAATATGGTTAATATCGAGTACTTACATCTAACATTTAACTGTATGTTACTCTTTGATTAAATATGAAACAGGAACTCTTTCAGTGATATAACAGCAACTTGGCAATAACAGCAATAGGAGATTCTCAAATAGGTGGATTCTCATAGCTCTTTTTTTTCCTTGCTTGAAGAACAAAGAGGAAGACTTAGTCTACTTATTACACATCCCAATAATATTATTTTGATTTCAGCAATAGATAATTTGGACCATGTTTACCCTAGGTGGTTTCACTCAACACTATTGGCCAATTACCGACAGACAATCCATCAATACCTTGGTTGAGTATTGGTCTTGCTTGTATTGGCCGGGTGTTGACTGATACGCAGCCAATTTATCAGCTGACAGTCAGTCAAGTGTCAGTCGAGTGTCGGTTGGGTATTGATCCAGTGTCAGTCAATACATCAGCTGATATGTTTGTTAGTTGCATGTCAGTCAAGTAATGGCCAATATATCGACCAACACTCAGTCGACATTCCACTGATACTCAGCGGACACTCAACCTACTGTCGGCTGATATCTCAGCCAAATATCCGCCAAGTGTTGATATATCAGTTCATGGTGTGGGCTGACCTACCTACAGTAAACCTGATCCGATTATTTTACTGACAAGTTAGGCTTCATAGTTCCTGCTTTCGCCATGACAATAATCAACAATGCACACGTTGAAAAGTTACTTAACTGCACATTAACCAGGTAAAATTTCATTGACAAGGCCTCAGAACCATGCTTACGTATCCTTCCTAAACATACAGTCATGTAACTGTATCAAAAGGCTGAAAGCATACATGTTTGTTCTCCAGACCACATCATCAAAATACTGGACAAAAATAAGTTGAATTTCAAGCAGAACTGATGTCATGTAGTGGGATTTTTAAATGCCATTTTATCAATCAAAAAGCAGCACAAAAAATCATGAGTCATAAAGTGATAAACCGCCATGATAGTTTTTCACTTCAGCAGGGTGCAAAGAAAACTAATTTTTAAGCTTGCCCAAAGGGCAAGCTGTAACTATGAACCTCTGTGATTTGAACTTCTCCAAAACCTTTTCCAAGAAACGCCACTGTCTGTCAGAAAAGTGAGGAAAGAATCCACTGGCGTGACTGCAAAATTACTAGCCCTTGGCTCTTGGACACCACTTTCTTTGCATGCTGTTCAGCCAAGAGTAGTCAAAATTTACTTTGTAACAACAATGTGGGTAGCCAGTTTGCATTTACAACCCTAAAATATTATTCCAGTTTTATAACAGATCATAATGTCATGTTATTAGTTTTACTTTGAACATTATTCATCAAGGTTTGATGCTCCTTCTAACTATTATTTTGGGAGCTGGTCACACTTTAAGCTCACATGTTCCTGTCAGTGTGATGGGAATAGAATAAGAACTTGGTATATGAAGCAGTTGCACTGCTGGTTTGGCAAAGGCTAACTGTACATAATTTTGTGTTAAAATTCTGGGATTTATGCAACTTGGAAACATGACACTCTGAAAGAGAGAGTTTGAGAATGGCCAGCGGTCAATTTATCCAACCTGCCAACCATTTCAGTATTAGTCAGTATTAGCATTGCTTATAGCGATGTGAGGTATTGTATCTTGTTTATGTGCAAAATGATCATAGCTTTACTTTGCTACTAGGCCACTTCTTCCATTGTTGTCCAGTCATCACGATCCTAATGTGTGCATGTATCAGGCTTTGGACTGTGAGTGGTAAAACCTTTTTATCCCAAGAATAGTTAAAAGGGGAGAAATTTTTTTCACTTTGTCAGTATTATTGGTTATCCAGTGAAAGCTGAAACTATGCAGTACACGTGGCTAGATGAAACCTGCAATATAACATGATCTTGAAACTTCTCATTTGGATATGTCACCTTATAAGGTGCAGTATCTAAGGGAGGGATTTAGGGCCCAATTATGTGGTCTCAGGTACCCAAGACAACCCTACCCCCCCTCCCCCCCTCCAAGTTACCCTGGCTGAGCTAACTTTTCACCTATTTCTGTGCAAAATTCAACCAGCCTTTGACATGATGATCGCTAACTCTGACAAGGGAGGATGGGGGGTGTGTGACAACTCAGGTGGGCGAGTTGTCTTGCTCCAGCAGGTAGGGTAATTCAGGCAGGCGCGACAACTTTTCTTCAGCTAAACACTTTTGGCTCTCCTAATCAAGGCAACTCTCGCCATGTGGAGAATGTCACTTAATGGATAGATTTAGGATTTAAAGCAGAAATTTGTATCAAAGATGTAAATTTAACTTGGCAAAACCCAGAGTGAATGAATGATGGAGGGAAACTCAAAGAAAGAGCGATTTTGCACATTTCATTATTTATTAAGGGTCACAAATAATTATGAAGGGTCAACTTTGACTCTGCCTACAGGGACAACATTGTCACATACAAATGCTCGATAAAGTTGCCTCAGGGAGAGGGTTGCCTCGGGTACCACATAAATGGAGCCTTAGACTTCAAAAACAAATAGGGTGCTAAATTTGGTATCCTAGAAAATCCCAACAGTCTCCAGTGCCCTGTCACAGACTTCAGAATGCTTGAATGGACTTTCATTTCCTGCATCGCATTAGCATATATTTTGTACCAATATAGAGCTAGAACTTAATACGCTTACTACTAAAGCACAAAATAAGCGTATTAAACGTTAGGATGGCTGTGAAAATATGTATGCCTCACGATACTTCTAAGCTGAAATCTTTAGATTTTTTGTAAGCCTCGGTATTGTAGCTCTTGTAATCCTGAATAATAACACGAGTTTCTCTAGTTTCCCATTTGGGTCAATTAATTCTTATAATATCGACTTGAAATGGCAAAAGCACGCAACCTACCGTTCAGTTGCCGGGATTTTTCCTTCCTGAATCGATTGAACTCAAAAGCTTCCGCACATCAAGAGAACAGTGTCCCCGCGATTAACGTTCAACTCCATTTGAGCTTCCAACGCCGAGAGAAGTTCTTTTTCGTCGCTTATCCAGTTTCCCGACAAAGTTTTCTAACGTGTGTGTTTAAGTGTGGAAATGCAGAAAGCGTGAAAATTCATTCAATAATCAAATGTTTCGCTACGGAGACGACGGAGACACAATGCGAACCACAACAACGCTCCGCTGAACTTTTGGCGGGAAATTGGTGACCTACGCGGGAGGTCAATAAACCACGTGACTTACACCTTCTCACGGCCAAAATTACAGTATATAGTATGGGGAAAATTACGGTGGCCTGTAAGGGAAACCTCGATAATTTTCATCGCCACATGGAAAATTTTGCTTTGGCGACTTAATAAAACGCGAGAAAATTCACTGTCAGTTTTGCTTTTAGTCCTCATGTTGACGTCATAAAATATCGTAAAACACTGACGTTTTCCTTCGAGTCTTCGACTGCGCTCAGATTACTTGAGCTTTCGTCCTCAGCGCGCGTGCGATCGTTAAACTATAGGGAGTCACCTTTTTTCCATACATTTGGCTGTAAAACTTGAGTCACAATTCGCGGGAAAATTTAGAGAGCCTTGTATGAAAAATTAAAAGTGCAATTCCTCGCCTCACAGCAAATGTGTTTTTCAAATTTGACCAAAAAAGCCTTCTGCTGGGTATCCATTCTTTGTAACTCAGGAAATATACTCAGAACGGCAATAACTCTCAATTTATTGGGCATCGAAATTTAAACTTTTCCTATATATTTCCCAGCAATTTTTGCCGTGTTTGCCCCGTAAGCAAGGTGGCGTCAGAAACCGTGAAAGAACCTATAATAGTTTAATACCAGAGTAGAAAAAAACACTAACGAGGTGATACGAGTCTGCAAAGTGCAAAAGGGCTGGACCTGTCCTGATACTGAAGACTAACTCAATAAATTTTTAAATGTCAGTTTCGATCTCAGTTTTCACGGACAAGAGGATCGGTCATTAATATTGAGAAGGAGGGGAGCTGGTGCTATGGGTAGCCCATGATTGGTTTTTCCTGACACCCCTTCCCCTCCCCCTGCAGCCCTTCCCCAGCTACGTACATACATAGATTAATCAAACTCAAAGCTGAAGGAGATTAAATTTCGATAAACATTTCAAAATAAAAATGAGCGATAGAAATTTTACACAACGTTTCGATGTCGTCATGACATCATTATCAAGTGACAAGAAAATAACGGTTCAACAGTGTTATATATGCGGTGAGAGGTGTGATTGTTAATTAACAGATGGAATCCGATTGCGTGTTCAGGCTAGGTTTCTTCTTTCTAATAAACAGCATTTCGTAAATCAAACAATCCAGTTTTCCGTTGTATTTCTTTAGGACGGAAAAATTATTGGCAAGGTCGTCGATGTTATAAAGGCCGTGATCGTTCTTTAAATGCTTTCCGATTGCGGAGGACCTGTGTTCATTAATACGTTGGTGCAAATGCCGGCTGGTATACCCGACATACTCTGCATCGCACAGATCACATCGGTAATTGTACACTACACATTGTTGATTAATTAGAGGTGGTTTTGGTTCACGCATGTTGAGATCTTCACAGATTTTGCGACTCTTGAATACTGGTTGAAGAGTGTGATCGATTTTCTTGCTCAGGTCAGATAGCTGACAGATCACAATTACCATTTAAAATTTCTATCGCTCATTTTTATTTTGAAATGTTTATCAAAGCTGAAGAACAAAACAATAATACAGAAAACCCCAACGTTACAGAACTGAAATCAAAATTCTCGCTTATCCTGGGTTAATATAGCTTAATCGGGCTTCTATATAACTAATAAGGGAACAGGGTCACCAGCAACAAAACCAATGGTAAAGAAGTATTAGGAAAAAGACACCGGCAAGACAATCCCAGATACGGAGAGAAATGGTTAAAACGCGTGTTACGCTTACTTGGGCCGATGTTGGGTGTTTCTGGACATTTAACTGTCTACCACCGGCTTGACATCAACAAAGTTTCCTACATAGTCACAAGTTTCCAGTAAACAGTTTTAATTCCTCTTTTGGCATGTTCTCAGACTGATCCCATTACAGAGGGCCTGTTATACTCTAGTGGTTTCTGGGAGGTTTAAGGCAATTTAATTTGAAGTGCCGGTTTGCGGGTACATTCACATTTATCTGACGGTTTATGGTTTGGAAATTAACACGCGGTTGCGGGAATTCATAAATTTAGCGCGCGGTTTTCGGGAATGTTTTTGGTGGTGGTTTGTGCAGGAAACGTAAATTTCACAAGCTAGTTCTGTCCGTAATTCTA